TATCCTATCCTATTCCTTTCTTTTAAATAAATATTTTTATCGCTTCCTATTCTCATTCTAAAATTCTTCCTTATTATTAAAAAAAACAAAAATTTAGATTTATGTTTACTGGGATCCACACATCTTACAATACAGTACTGTGCACGGCCTGGTTTGTGGAGGGGATTGGAGGGGCAACCCGGCCCGACTGGCAGCACTGACCTTGACCACAAAAAAATAAAAAATTTTCTTTTCAATTTTTTTAAAGTATTTTAAAAAAAGGTTAATTAAAATTTTGTCTTTTATTATATTTTAAATATTCACATAAATTGTATATTTAATGTCATAAAATAAAAAATAAATAATAAATATTTGTATGTAATAATAAATATTTGTATATAATTGCTTCAAAAATTCTTATTTCTCAAAATATAGCATTAGTGTATGCAGAAACTATTATATTTGTCCGAAACAAAAAAGATTTTTAATTTTTTATACCAGGGCTTGGAATTATTTCATCTTTTCGGCCAATTCTCGTGGTATATGCCTCCTCTCCTTTCCTTACCGCGCGCGCGGCAGCCGCTAGGGCCAACGCCGCCGAGCGTTAGGAGCGGCGCTACCCGATTGATGTTAAAAAAATTTATTAAAAATATTTTTTCCTCAGTGGCAATAGTACCTCATGGATGACGTGGAAATCTATTGAAATATTTTCACATAATAAATTTAAAAATAAAAAAATATTTTTAATTAATTTTTAAAATTTTTAATGATCAAGAAAGAAGAACCCAACATTTATCGGATAGCGCTGCTCCTAACGCTCGGCGGCGCTAGCCCTAGCGGTTGCTGCGCGCGCGGTAAGGAGAGGAAAGGAGGCGTATATCACGAGAATCGGCCGAAAAGATGAAATAATTCCGAGCCTTGTTTTACACTAATAATTAATTCACAGACGATCATGTCTCCAACTCAACACGTCTAAAGTTTATTTCGAAAAGTTTTATAAAATTTTTATAAAATTAATTTTAAATAAGAACAACAAACTTGTTTGTTTCAAAAAAATTTTATATAAACTACGTGTTACACGCGTTATTCGTACATTTGGAACAAATAACAATCGACGTGCTATGCTCGCCATTTCTGTGTAAGAAATTAATAAAGATATTCCCAGTAAACAAAAGCTAACAATAACATAATGTTAACGTTATAATTTCCCACTTAACGATGTGACTGCAATATAACATGCCTTGTATGTAACAATTATATTGTTGAATGGGAAATTATAATATTAATGTATTTGTTACGCAAATTTTGTGTCCATGTAAACGCTGAAATCTGAATATTACGTTATGCAATACGTATTACGCTGAAAATATCAGTTTATGAGACTGAACCCTAAAACTATCCTATTTACTGTTTTCAGCGAAAGTACTTTCTGACGAGATATTCAACTGTTTACTCTTGAACACCTTGTATATATAGGTTTGTTCTTTATTGTCGAACTTTCTGCACTAGTGTACACTAGTGACACCAAAGCGTTCTCTATTGCAGTGCAACGTGCACCAATTCGTTCTTCATTGCAGTGCAACAGTTCACGGTACTCGTTGCACTGGGTCTTAAGCAAGAACAAGCAGTGCAGGGCAGTGCGGGAATCGGATTAGTTGATAATGGTGTTGCTCTTCTTAATCCAAGCGTGAAGGTTCAATCGAATTAACGATTCCAGAGGAGGTTTTATTACTAAGAGATATATTTTAATAAACGTATAGATAAAGTTGGTACAATGTTCTCTTAACCGCACGCTCAACAAAACTTGTATACTTCGTTAGAGAGAAAAAAAACTAACTACAAAATGAGTGGAAAATATAAAAGATATAAAAGAAATATAGAGTATAAACTTGCTTAGTAAGATAAAAGTAAAATTGAACGATTACATATATATTTCGTAACACTCCCACTAAGCGTTCAAGGATTTTCTTTACTTGTCTATGACTTTATTCCTTCAATAGCTAGCTGTTTAAGATTATTCAGGAAGTTTTCTTTAGATAGAGCTTTAGTAAGAAAATCAGCAAGTTGTTCTTTTGATGCTACATATATATATTAACTCTAGTATGTTGTTTGTTATGCATTCGCGTATGTAATGGTACTTTACATCTATATGTTTTGTTAACTTGTGATGTTCAGCATTTTTGGCTAATTTTATAGCGCTTTGATTATCAATAAACAGTTGGTGCTATGGGTTGTTTTAACAATTCTTTAAGTAGTCGACGCAACTACATTATTTCTTGTGCAGCCTCAGAAGCTGATATGTATTCCGCCTCGGTGGTGAAACGAGCTACACATTTTTGTTGTCGAGAGGACCATGTAATTGGACCATTTGCTAAGATGCTAATATATCCTGAGATTGATTTTCTGATGCTTTCATCATTGGTAAAATCCGCATCACAATATACTTTAAGGATTTCGTTATCGCAACTGTATACTATGCCTTGTTCTTTGGTTCCTTGTAAATAATGCAAAATACGTTTGGTCGCTTTCCAATGCTTTATATCTGGATTATTTAAGAAACGACTTACTTGATTGACCGCAAAAACTATATCTGGACGCGACACAATTGCCGCGAACATTAAACTTCCTACAAGTTCTCGATAAGGAATTTTATTTATTGTCTCTATTTCAGATTTTGTATTTGGACAATCATTACAATCTAATTTTGCATTGGATTCGGCAGGAGTTGTAACTGGCTTGCAATTTTCCATTTGAAATTTTCGTAACATTCTATTGATATAGTTCTTTTGATAAATGTATCTTTTCTTTTTAGTTTTATTTCTGTTTATTTCTAAACCCACAAAATATTCTAAGTCTCTTATTACTTTGATTTCGAATTGTGAGTTAAGTTCTTTTAGTATTTTTTTTTATGGTTTCTGTTCTTTTGCACACGATCAACCCATCGTCTACATATAGAGCTAGAAAAACTATTTCATTATCAAGTTTTGAACGAAAAACACATTTATCTGCCTCTAGTTGAGTAAAGTTAAAAGACTTAAAAAAATTTGTAAATTTAATGTTCCAACATCGTGGAGATTGCTTGAGACCATAAATACTCTTATGTAATTTACAAATTAAATTAGGATTTGTATCAAAACCTTTTGGCTGTTTCATATAAATTTCGTCTGTTAGTTCTCTATGTAAAAACGCGGTTTTTACGTCAAATTGTTGTATGTCTAGATCATGTATTGCAGCTAAAGCTAAGAGAATTCGAATAGAATCGTATCTAATCACAGGAGAAAAAGTATCACTATAGTCTATACCTTTTGCTTGCAGGAAACCTTTCGCACATAAACGAGCTTTATACTTATCGATAGTTCCATCTGATTTACGCTTCAGCTTATACACCCATTTGCAGTCTATGATCTTCTGTTTTTCCGGTTGAGGTACTAGAGACCATGTTCCGTTGGCTACTAATGAATCCATTTCCTCTTCCATAGCTTGACACCAATTTTTGGCCTCACTACTTGACATTGCTTCTTCATATGATTTTGGTTCTTCCATTATTACTGCTGCACAGGCCATATAGTAGGTTTCATTGTATCGTGCTGGTTTTTGAATTTTATTTCGATCCCTTAGTATGCGTTGTTCTGTGGCTTTAGGTCTGTCCTCTTCTTCTTCTGACTGTTCTGCATCTATTGAGCTGTCAGAAACATCTTCGACATCATCTTGTCCTGCTGTTCCGATTTCATTCTGTACATCTTCCTCTTGCTGTTTCTCAATCGAGAAAGTTGTATATGTATCCTCTTTACTTTTATTAACATCTTGTTCATTAAATACAACTCGGGTTACTGTAATTTTCAAGGTTTGTGGATCCAGTACTCTGTAGTTTGGACTGTTGTTGTCGTATCCTACTAGTATGATTTTTCTGGATTTGCTTTCAAATTTTGTTCTAAATTGCTTCGGAACGTGTATATAGACCTCTGATCCAAATTTTCTGAGATGTTTCAATGTAACTTTCCGCCCTGTCCATTGTTCATATGGTATTGTTTTGTCTGATTCTCGAGGTCGTCGATTGAGTAGATAAACGCTTGTGTTTGCTGCTTCAGCTCATAGATTTGGCTCCAACTTTGCTGTGAATAACATACTGCGAGCTGTTTCCACAATTATTTCGGTTTTCTCTCTCGATTCTTCCATTTTGCTCTGCAGTATATGGAGCGCTGAACTCATGGATTATTCCTTTTTCACGGAAATGTCGCTGGAACTGATCATTGTTAAATTCTAGACCTCTATCACTTTTTACTTTCTTTACTAAATTACCCGTTTGTCTTTCAACCAATTTTTGTATTTCGAGAAATTGTGAGAAAGCGTCACTTTTATGCTTGATAAAACGAATAATTCTGTAAGACGTACTTTCGTCTTTGAACAGTATATAATAGTATGCCCCGCTGATTGAAGGATATGACATCTTTCCACATAGATCCATGTGCAGACATTCGCCTGGTTTTAAACCTTTATCTTTTACATTCTGTTTAAAAGGTAACCGATGCAATTTACCGTATTGGCAAGCTTCGCAAAATAATCCTTCAGTTGTTTTTATTTGTGTATTTGGTAGTAGACCTTGATCAGCCATATTCTTTAGTGCTTGAAAATTGATGTGGCCTAGTCTCTCATGCCACAGTGTTGCTGAATCTTATCACTGATACATTTGCTACTGTTTTGGTCGCGGGCTTGAATAGCATTTTATAACAGTTCTTGGATTGCTTTATGCCCGTGGCCACTAGACGATTGCTGTAAATTTCCATTTTGTCCTTGCTGAAAATTACTTTCAGGTTTTTATTTGTTGCTGCTCCCACTGAAAAAAGATTCTTACTTAGTTTTGGAACATACAATACGTTTTCAAGTGTGCGTGGCTCTCACTCGCCATTGATTAGTGCTAGAAGCTTTACATCACCGTAACCTTCTACTTCGATTTGAGAATTATTACCAATTTGTACAAAATCTTTAATGTTTTTAGTATGTAAGTTGGTAAACCACTCTCTTCAATAGGACATATGCTTTGAGGCAGCACTATCACCCAGCCACCCCTCTTCGTTGTCACATGCCATAATATTTTTGTGTTCTACTGATAAGGCTTGATGTTTCCGATTTTTATCTTCCTTTTGTAACTGTTGCTTATTCAGTCTCTTACGGCATTCTGACTTATAGTGACCCTTCTTCTTGCAGAAGAAGCACTCTACATTTCTTTTATCTGTAGATTTTCCTTTCTGATCTGTATTTGTTTTTAGTGTTTTATTTACATTCAGGGATGCAAAAGCTACTGCCACTTCCTCTGCTTCAGTCAGCCGTTTTTCTTCCTTCATTAGTCGTGCAACCAGATTCTCGTAGGTTTGTTTTGTTTCATCGTATGAATCCCAAGCTGTAATAAAACCGCTGTATTTTACAGGAAGATTTCCAAGCGCCTTTGCTAGTTTATCTACTTTGGTGACCGGCTCGTCTACGTCAGCAAGTGCCTGTGCTAACGAATCTATTTTACTTAGATGTTGAGCAACTGAATCAGTCTCTGTTATTTTATAATTAAAAAATTGTTGCTTGAGTTGTAGTTTATTGACTGCAGATCTTTGCTCGTGTATGGTTTTTAGACGGTTCTACATTTCAGGTGCTGTCTGATAACTTACCACGGTTTGCAATTGTTCATATTCCATACCCGATGATATTATCAGCATTGCCTTTGCGTTTAGATTGTTCCATGTTGTACGTGCCGGTACCTTCATTTGCTGAACATTGAGTGCTTCCATTCACGAGTTTGAACATACCTGGTTCCGCTCGAAATATTATTTCCATAGGAAATTTTGTCCATTAAACTTCTGGATTTGAAAATGTTTTAGGCCTTCCATTTTGTCTCAACTTTTACCGACCGCAAGATTTTTCCAATTAATGACACGTGGCACTATAACCTCTCTTTCGTCCTTCCTCTTTTATTTTACCTCAAAACCTGGGGCCCACCAAGATCTATAGCAGTGATGCGATCTTTCCCACAGCCGAGCCGGGACCGCTGTGGGAAAGATCGCATCACTGATCTATAGAGAGAAGGTTAACTTAAAAAAACCAGTTGTGGGCGAGGGACGATGAAGTAAGGGGGGAGCTAGAAACAGTTTGATGGCGAGGGGCGACGAAGGAAGGAGGGAGCTAGAAACAGCTTGATGGCAAGGGGCGATGAAGGAAAAGGAGAGCATGATGATCTCATCGACAAACAGTAGCTGTCTCTCTCTTTCAAAGTTCTTCCTTTTCTAACTGTTTCTAACCCTGTCACTTGCTCTCATTATTGACTTTCATGTGTCAGTTTAAGAGGTTATATAGTAAAAATCGAAGGTACGTATATTAATTATTTTGTCTGTTATTTCCCCTAACATATTCCCCTAACATATAAATGAACAAAACCGAAGAAATAATTTAACCCACATAACCTAAACAATATTTTTTTATCTAAATACATACAATTTTTATATTTTATTAGCAAATATTTGAAAATTGTTAACACTTTGTAAATTTTATCATATAAATATTCACATTTGCAATGTTGAAACATATATTACAATTTCATTATTTAAGTTTGTATCATAATAAATTTGTGTATGATGCTTTTTATATTACCCTAGAATTGTACTTACATTTATGAATTTCAGTTACAATTTCTTGACAATTTTTGAGGTTTTCACAATTAAATATAAAAAATAAATTTCTTTATAATATTTCTTTTGTAAATAATGCATATAAACAATAAATATTATTTTAAAAATAATTTTTAAAATTAAAATGATATAAGGCTCATATGATTTTCAAAATCAAAATTATTAAACAGGAGCGTAAAGAGCCAAAAAGCAAGTTGATCAAAAGCAAGATTGAGTCCTCTCACGAGTTTGACTGGGAGAATGTAAAAATATTGGACGGTGAACCTTCTTATGCAAAAAGAATGATTTCAGAAATAGTTTTTATTAAGAGACAACGTGCAGGCTTGAATAATCAGAATGACACTGAAAGGTTACCTGATGCTTATCTCCCTATTATTAATCTGTTTCCTTCATTATAATTTTATTACTTCTCTCTCCTACACTAACATTTTTATCCCCTCCATTCTACATATGCCTCTTTTACTCTTTGCCTTTTCGTTCTCCCCTCCCTTCCTTTCATTCTCTTTACTTTCACCTTAATTTGGTTCACTCTTTTATGATCATTAAGATTTTGACCATCATTTTAAGATTGGACCTAAGTGCTTCTCTTCTATCTTACTATTGAGGGGATGTTCTTTTTGTCCTACACTATGTTTTTACCACAAGTATGTAACATTATTTTAACTCTGTTTTCGACTAGCGGTTTTAATATAATAGGAATTCTTATTTGTTTTCTTTTAATCTGAATACAGTCTTAATGTCTTTTGATTTTGAACGTTATGGCTGTTCTTCTTTGGATTATTCCAAAAAACTGTATTATGTTCTCACTTCTTTGTAATTAATGCGTTGCGTCCTTTTTGTTATTTTTATTATTTATATTGATAAGGGCTTGATGACAAGCCGAAACGTTTATATTCTACGATAATGTAAATTAAGTAATACACTATTGCACGATCAACTTGCTTTTTGGCTCTTTCCGCTCCTGTTTAAAATTATAATTTTTAATTATGTACTATTTTTCTTTATTTTACTACTTTACAAATGATGTTTTTTGTGTACATCCCCAAATTATATTTATTTTCATTAATATTACAGTCTAAATACAAGTACAAAGCAATTTGTATTACAAATGCATCTGTTGCAGCGATATTTAACATTATAAACGTTAAATATTTAGCGCTATAATTTGCAATATATGTAATTTATAGCGCCTTTCTAATTTACTTTTCAATTTTTATTACGCAATTTCCAGTGCTATCAATATTTTACAAAATAAAAGTATTTTTTTGATAAAAACTTAAAGCATTTCTATATTAAAGGAGCGAGAGAGAAAACACTAAAGCGTGCGAGAGAGACAGCTACTGTTTGACGATGAGATCATCATTGCCCCTCTTGCCGCTCGCCCCTCTCAGCATTTGCTCCTCATGCCGCTCGTCCCTCTTTGCGCATAAGGTAACCTTCTCTCTATAGATCTTGGGGCCCTACAACCTGTTGCCCTTCTTATTCCAAGCATGGAGGTTCAATCGAATTAACGATTTCAGAGGAGGTTTTATTACTGAGAGATATATTTTAATAAACGTATAGATAAAGTTGGTACAATGTTCTCTTAACCGCACGCTCAACAAAACCTGTATACTTCGTTAGAGAGAGAAAAAAAAATTAATTACAAAATGAGCGGGAAATATAAAAGATATAAAAGAAATATAGAGTATAAACTTGCTTAGTAAGATAAAAGTAAAATTGAACGATTACATATATATTTCGTAATAAGTGGAAAATTTAAAAAATACACATAATCTATTATAAATATTAAAGTAACCTATTTAATATTAAAGTAATTAATAATTCTCTTAAAATTAAATTATAAACACTGAAATTGTACTAATAATCTGAATTTCAGAAAATGAAGCTGTGATAGTACTAACTTTTATTAAATGTAAAAAGTTTTATCTTTTTAGAGAAGCTAAATGTATATAAAAGTTTTTATATGCTGTATTTGTGTAACATAAAATTATACTTATTGTTAATAATAATTGCAAATTTACAGAACAGCTGAAAAAATATGTATATATATATATATATATATATATATAATTATATCTATTAAAGAGGTATACCAACATACATACCAACATTATTTGTTTCTTTCATAGACTGATTTGCAGTTGATATTTTTTATTACAATAAAATTTGCTCTATAAACTCAACAAATTCAATTAATTTAACTCAAGCAATACAAGACAGCGTCGAGTTGTCATAAATCATAAAGGTTCTAGATGGTTATGTTTATCTCATTTTTCGGTCCTAGTGAAACTAACTCGAACTTGAATTATCGTAAACACCCATGGTTACTTCATACGCAAAGAGGGACGAGCGGCAAAAAGAGCAAATGCAGAGAGGAGCGAGCGGCAAGAGGGGCAATGATGATCTCATTGGCGAACAGAAGATATCTCAGACAGCTACTGTTGGCAAATGAGATCATCATGCTCTCCCCTTCCTTCATCGTCCCTCGCCAACAACCGGTTTTACTGAGGTAACCTTCAAGATCTATAGAGAGAAGGTTACCTCAGTAAAACCGGTTGAGGGTGAGGGACGATGAAGTAAGGGGAGAGCTAGAAACAGCTTGACGGCGAGGAGCGATGAAGGAAGAGGGGGAACTAGAAACAGCTTGATGGCGAGGGGCGATGAAGAAAGGGGAGAGCATGATGATTTCATCGACAAACAGTAGCTGTCTGAGATAGCTTCTGTTTGCCGATGCAGTGTAGCCAGATTTGGCTTGGTTTTTCGTGCATGTGCGACGCGGCAAACGCAGTGAAGTGTTTCAGTCTAGTAAAAAGGTATACCATATAGTACCCGTTTATTTTAAAAATTATT